TGTGACCGGCGTGAGGGCACACCCTCTGAAACATTTTTTGTATCCCCAACATATCTGCAGTAACTCAATAAATAATAGACTAAATGAATGAACGGAGGAGGACGAATGGATAGACAGAAGTCTGCGGAGGGTGTGGAGGCGGTGCAATCCCGGAGCCCAGCTCAGAGGCAGTAACCTGAGACTCTCACCTAAAAAGTTCACGACCCGGAGCCAGGAGAAAGAACAGCACTGGCATTCGGCCCAGTCCAAACTCCTGCTCTGTTTGGGGCGGGGCTAGGAGGAGGGCCTAGTCGGCTTCTGCGCGTCAACTGACCAATCGCCGCCTCAAGGGGGCGGGGATTTCAAGCTGTCTCCGTTCTTCCCTTTGGAGAGAGTAAATACATTTGGGCGCGGTTCAAACGGACCAATGAGTGCTCGATGTTTCCTGCGGTTTCTTCTCAACGATTGGCCACAGCTCATCGTCCCGCCCTCTCGTCACGATTTTTGCCCCACCCCCTCGCACACAAGATGGCGGCGCCCAGCGGAGTAGAGGCCGCGTTTGGGGTTTGCTGAGGCTGACGCCCTTTCCCACTACCCCTTTGGACGCAAAGCGCCGCGAGCCCAGAGGACGGGGGCCGGGCGGGGACAGGGGTACCTGCGTAGCTGGACCGCGAGCCCGCGCCCAGCCTGCGCCGCCCCCACCCGGCCCCGGCCCGAAACCATCCGTTCCCGGTCTCCTCTCGGTCTGACCCACTGCCCGGTCGTGGTTCGCCACCACCAAGCCTCCAAAGCTGAGCTCTCTCCTCCAGCCCGGGCTTACCTCCACTTTAGAGATGTTTGGCCTCTTCCTTCCCAGACAGCCCGCCTTCAAAACCGGGACTCCTGGACCGGCACCTGGCTCCTTTTCCCTCCACTGAGACCCCACCCGGCTCTAACCCACTTCTTCCTCAGATTCTTGGTTCTCCCTGGCTTGGAGACTGCTCACTTCCCTTCCAAATTGATCCCCGACGCCCCCCAATATTATCAGCCTTGACACCTCCCTCAACCTGGAGCTAGACTTCCTTTTGGATTAACCTCCACAGCCCTATCATGGAGGCTGTGTACCTGATAGTGAATGGGGTGGGCCTTGTGCTGGACCTGCTGACCTTGGTGTTGGACCTCAACTTCCTGCTGGTGTCCTCCCTCCTGGCTTCCCTGGCCTGGCTCCTGGCCTTCATCTACAACCTGCCACACACGGTACTGACTAGTCTTTTGCACTTGGGCCGCGGAGTCCTGCTTTCATTGCTGGCCTTGATTGAAGCCTTGGTGCGGTTCACCTTTGGGGGGTTGCAGGCCTTATGTACCCTGCTGTACAGCTGCTGCTCTGGCCTGGAGAGCTTAAAGCTCCTGGGGCACCTGGCCTCTCACGGGGCACTGAGGAGCCGGGAGATACTGCACCGAGGTGTCCTCAATGTGGTCTCCAATGGCCATGCTTTGCTGCGCCAGGCCTGTGACATCTGTGCCATTGCCATGAGCCTAGTGGCCTACGTGATCAACAGCCTGGTGAACATCTGCCTCATTGGCACTCAGAACTTTTTCTCCCTGATTCTGGCCCTGTGGGATGCAGTGATGGGGCCGCTGTGGAGGATGACGGACGTTGTAGCTGCCTTCCTAACCCACATTTCCAGCAGTGCCGTGGCCATGGCCATCCTCCTCTGGACCCCCTGCCAGCTAGCACTGGAGCTCCTAGCGTCAGCTGCCCGTCTCCTGGCCAGCTTCGTGCTTGTCAACGTCACCGGCCTGGTGCTGCTGGCTTGCGTGCTGGCTGTGATGGTGACTGTGTTGCACCCGGACCTCACCCTGAGACTGGCCGCCCGGGCACTCAGTCAGCTCCACGCCCGGCCGTCCTACCACCGGCTCCGAGAGGATGTGGTGCGGCTGTCTCGCCTAGCACTGGACTTGGAGGCCTGGCGCCGAGTCTGGAGCCGCAGCCTGCAGCTGGCCACCTGGCCAAACCGGGGAGGGGCTCCTGGGGCCCCTCAGGGTGGCCCTAGGAGGGTGCCCTCAGCCAGGACCTGGCGACAGGACATTCTTCCCGAAGCAGGGCCCAGATCAGAGGCAGAAGAGGCAGAAGAGGTCAGGACGGCCAGAGCAACAGCTGCTCGCGGCCGGGAGAGGCTCAACGAGGAAGAGTCTGTCGCGGGGCAAGACCCATGGAAGTTGCTCAAGGAGCAGGAGGAGCGGAAGAAATGTGTCATCTGCCAGGACCAGAGCAAGACGGTGCTGCTTCTGCCCTGTCGGCACCTGTGCCTGTGCCAGGCTTGCACTGAGATCCTCCTGCGCCACCCCGTCTATCACCGCAACTGCCCACTCTGCCGCCGGGGCATTCTGCAGACCCTCAATGTCTACCTCTGAAGCCTCCTTCCCTGCCTGCCCGCTCTGCTGTGCTCCATGAGCCACCTGCGCTAGGACAGCTTTCACACCTGACCTCTTGGTTCCTGGCCTGAATTCCCTCCTGCCCCCATGGCCGTCACGCCGAGCCTCCAAGCCATACGTCCAGGACATGGAGATAGGCTATTCTGGAAGACTGTGAGCTGGGTGGGGCAGGGTAACAGCTTTTTCTCACCCAGTGTACCCCTGTGTGATGCCAGAGGTGGTGAGTGTGTCACTGTGCAATGCCCTGAGACTGCTGTGGAGCCCCCTCTAGCTTGCCAGGGCCCATCCAGATGCCAACCTCTGGGGCTCCCCTTCTACTTCTGGTGTTTCTGTTGGGGATTTGCAGGTCCTCTCCCTGACTCCTCCCCATTTCCTCCCCAGCTTCTGCAGCCACAACACATCACTGTCCTTCAGATGTTTTGGTAACACAGGGGCCTTGGAATGAACTTGAACCTTTGCTTTCAGCCAGAGCACCTGTGCACTGGTGGGCCTTGGGGATAGTATCTCTCAGGTGCACTTAGCGTGACCACTTCTGCCAATCTTGATCTTATGAGGCTCCCTCCCAACCTGATCCAACAGCTAGGATCAAGAGTTTACCCCTTGGGGGGGGGTGGGTGTCTGCACCCGGCTTTGGGACCATGTTACCCTCTGGCACACCAGCTCCACTGGGAGCCTCAGAAGGGATAACCAGATTTCTACTCCTACCCCTTTCACTCCCCACATCACAGAGAACAATGGCATTCCCCTTCTGTTTGTCTCTCCCTGGCACTGGGGAGGGCAGACTGCACATTTCACTAGGGTCCAAATATGGAAGGGGCCAACCTAGGAGTATGCAGCTCCCTGATGGGTCTGTCTGACCCAGATGGGTCTGTCTGGCCCAATTTCTGGTGAATAAATTTCTCTTGACAGCTCTGATGGCATCTGTGTGCATCCTTACAGGGGTGACCAGCTGGTCAGACTAACTGGGGCTGTAGCAGGGTCTTTCAGTCCTGCTGGAGTCACTGTGGTCTGTAGGGGACCTGGTGGGGGAGGAGATAAGAGAGGATGTGAGGACAGTACCTTGGAGAGAGCCCATGCCAGGTGTTGCTGGATTAGCTTCCGCCCCCTCCAATTTGTGCCCTCACATACCTGGCTTTTGGGAAAGTCCTCCCAGTCTTTTTTACTCTTTCCAGAATGAAGCCCTGGTAGAGAGGCGTGGGAACATTCCCATGCCTTGAGTAGGCTTCCCAGCTTCTCTAGTGCCGCTCTTCCCAGAAAGGAATTTGGGGTTCCTGCTGCCTGGACTTCAGTCTACCATCCAGTCCCTGGAGGAGCCTGGTGCTTGTCTTTGTGTCTCTTGGGCTGGAGTTGGGCTGTGAGGCCTCCTGGCGGAGAGCTGGGAGCTGAAGTCCAGGACCCAATCCCAGTCCCCATGTTCATATCTGCCCTCACAGGCCCAGCAAGAGGGAGGGGGGACACTCCTGCATAATTGTATGTTAAATCTAGGAGCATAATGCCAGGGCAGACTTCTGGAAGCTGTTGGGTGGTTAGCGGAGCGGGGGTGGTGGGCTTGGGGGGCGGGTGGAGGGGGTGTGGAGGAAGGGTAGGTTAGAAAGAAACTGAGAAGAGGCCCCTCCACATTCTCTGGGGTTGAGAGGCTGAACCGATTGTGGGTCTGGCAATCCCTGGCTTGTTAGTCATTGGGATGGGGGTGGGGCTGGGGCTGGCTCCTGAAGGTCAGAGGAGGGGAACCTTGAAGGGGCTTTGTGGCTACCCTCAGACTTAGTGGCGCGGCCCACCCAGGCTATGCCCAGCGCGGTGGGGGGCGGGGGCGGTTTCACCACATCCATCTTGGAGCTGGGAGGCCTGGGGAGGGCTTTTCTCCCCCTCCCCCAAGCCCTAGAGAGGGAGGTGAGCAAGGGGAGGTTCCGCTCCGTCCAGTCTCTGTTTAATGTGAGGATAAACATTTTATGAGAGAAGATAAACTTCCTGAGCTGGGAGCAAAGGACCCCCTTTTCCTGTACCCCCATCTGGAATTACATTGGCAGACCTCAACAGCCGTCCTCTCCCTAAGTACCCTAGCAGCCTTGAGCTCAAGCGCTCCAGGATCATCGCTGCATTCTGGAGTTGGGACGCCCTCTTGTGGTCAGCTCAGAAACTACTTATCTCTAGCCGCCCAGGAACACACCACTTCCCTGGCGTGGGGGGACAGAGAAATAGCTTTCCAGTCATCTAGAGACCAGGCAGGCAGCCAGAGCGGTCACAAATGCACACACGGGGATCCTTTTTGTTGATCAGGATAGTGTGTGGCGAAGGTAGCCCCCGCCCAGTTCATATGACATCTTTGAGTCAGAAAAAGCTGGCCAGAGCCCCATGCCAGAAGGGCACCCTCTCCAGCCAAGCACTCCTGTTCACAACCAACACAACTCAGGGGACAGCTCTATGGAGCGGCTTCTCATTCACTTAGCCCTGTATCTCCTGTCCCATGGCTCATCCAGCCCAAGAGCCTTTCCTTCTGTCTGGGCACCACCCTGCACCTCTTCCCCATCACTCCCTCTCTCCTCCCCATCCTCATCACCAGGGCATCCCCACCACAATGAAGAAAGGCTGAGCCACTAGGTTGTTTTTGTTTTGTTTTATTTGATTTATTGAATAATCTCTGTGAAAAGGGCCCAGGCATAGGAGGGAAAAGGGAGAACCCAGAGAAGCAGCGCACCAGGAAGAGGGCACCCCACCTCTGGGGTCCTGGGCCAGAGCAACTGGGGGACCCACACCTGCCAGCACAGAGCGCTCCTTTGGTTTTGGGCAGAAATCCAGCCAATGCACCACACTGCCAGCCCTGATCTCAGAGGGCCTCTGTCCCCGTTCTCTGCCAGCAGCAGGACGGAGTCCTTCACAACATCCCAAGGGGGGGGGCCAGCCCTCCCAGATGATGTGCCTGTCGGTGTCATACCCTCCTTGCCAGGAGTGAGAGAGCTTGAGCTCACTTTCCAGTGGGTGTCAAGCAAAGACAGGGGAGTTGTGCCAGTCAGAATACACCAGAAACCCCGAGAAGGTGCTGTCTGTCTTGATGCTGGCATAGATGCCAATGTAATCACCCACACCCACCTGCACCCACACCTGGTCCTCTGGCTCCAGCCTTACCATGGCGCCCCCGGAGAGCGAGGCTGGTTTGGGCCACCCCCCAAAAAACTGGAAGAAAGAGGCGATGGACTCGCCATTCTTGACCAGATCGAACTGCAGGCTAGCCCGGTAGACAGTGGCGTGGACCGCGAAGTAGTAGACCCCGGGCACCTGGCAGGTGAACTTGCCGGTGGTGGCGTCGTAATGTCCCTGCTCGTTCACCAGAACGCGGTCGAAGGGTAGGGGCGCGTCCGACGGCGGAGGCACCCGGCTCTCGGAGCGCTTGGCGCTGAAGGCGGAGCGCGGAGGCACAGAGCACTCGCCCGCAGGCCCGGTGGCTCCCACGGGTCCCGCCTCTCCTCGCGGCCCGGGCTCCCCTCGGGGCCCCGGCAGTCCTGCGGGAGTGCGGGGCGCGGTTAGGACGAGTGTGGCAGCGGTGCCCAACCCCCCACCCCGTAGCCGGGGGTGTCGGGGGCGCCGCTTGGCACCCTCCCCACCCTGCCTGGGGCTCCCGGACGCCGCTTCCTGGGCGAGGGCCACCCTGCCGCCAGCTCCCCGGGCCCCGCCGCCCGCAGGAGAGGGTCACCGGAGCAGCGGCCGCCACGCGCTGCGTCACCCTCCCCGAGCCCCGCTTCCTGAGCCCGGCGGCGCCCCCTGGCGGGACCCCGAGTCCCGGCCCTCGGCCGGGCGAGCGCGGACCGCCCCGTGGACCGCGACCCCGCCGCCTTCTTACCCGGACTCCCGCCCTCGCCTTTCTCTCCCGGAGCCCCGGGCGCGCCGTCGCGGCCGTCGCGGCCGTCGCGGCCGGGCAGGCCCTGGCTGCCGTGGTGGCCCGGCGTGCCGGGAAGGCCGGGGTGCCCCGGGCACAGGCTGGGGATCTTGTTGTCGTCCAGCGGGGGCGAGCCGGCCGCCAGGCCCAGGAGCAGCAGGGCGACGAGCGGCCTCATGGCGCTGGCACGGGGACTCCGGCCGCCGGGGTCCTCAAAGTCTGCGGGCCAGGCGGGACGGGAGTCGGGACCCAGAATCCCGGCACCGGCCTCTCTCCCCGCCCCCGAGGCGGCCGGGTGGGTCCCCACCCCACTGCCACTGGCCTGAGGCTGAGCGGCCGCGGGGGGACGAAGGAGGGGCTTCCCCCAGAGCCGAGGACCCGGAGGGAGCCGGAGGTGGGGGGACAGGAGAGGCCGGCCGCTCCCCTCACCCCACTCCACCCTGTGGCCCTCCCGTCCCCCCCCCCCTCCCGCCCTCCACCACACTCACCCCCTCCCGTCTCCCGGGGCCTCCTTGGGGCGCTGGCTACTTCGGACCCTCCAGCTGACCCCTGCCCCGCCCCTGTGCTTCTCCCCCGCCAGGCGTCCCCTGCCCTGGTCCGGGTTCACTCCCTGCCGGCTCCGCTCTGCTCCTCCCAGACTCCAAGAGGAAACCAGTTGTTTAGGGGCCAAGAGCTCCCGGCCGGGAAATAGGGAAATAACTCGTGGTGTCGCCTGGCTGCCGACCAAGGTTTGGGGGAGAAAGGAGGCGGAGGGAGTCTTAGCTGGGCACAGGGAGGCAGAGCTGTGCACCACAGACACTCCGACAGACAGTCCAGGCACCACTGCTCCAAGGCCAGAAGGAGAGATGGTGCGGTGACAGAGACCAAGGCCAAGACTCGTGGTGGTGGTGGTGGTGGTGGGTGAACAGAAGCTGAGAACCGAGGGGGGAGAGTTCTAGAGGCAGACGGACAACTGGATCCCCAGGACTCACAACAGGGCCTGCCGCATTACTAGGCCCTCGATACTTTTTGTTGAATAAATGAAAGAGTCAGAAGGCAGCTGGTGGAGAACCTGAAAAAGGACGTCTCCAGAGAGGGCAAGGCAGGAGATTGGAAATCGGGGTCAGAGGTTTGGGTGCGAGGCGGTCCTCACAGTTAATGGCACCGTGTGGAGCTGGGGGCAAGGAACAGGACAGAGAAGCTTCCATTAGCCCTGCCGACGACTCCTCTTGCCTTCCCTGGGAGGCTCCAGAGAGGTTGACCAGAGTCCAAGGCTGGTCCTCCTTCCTTTGTCCCATGCCTGCCCAGCCTGATCGGCAGAGGTGGACAGGCGGGCAGAGGGGCAGGGGCCCGGCCTGGGGTCAGGGCTGGGCACAGGCCTCCAGGCCAGCCGCCTCGGGCAGCCTGTTGCAGTTGAAAGGCCAGGGGGTACCCAGTAGAGCCAGGCCAGACTGGCACTGGCGCTCAGCCTCCTGGCAGACAGAGCGGCAGGGGGGAAGGACACTGCCTATGGGAGTGCAGTGGGGCACAAGCAGTCCGCAGAGAAGCCTCCGGAAACTCTGATAGCAGGGCAGACTCGTCAGGCTCTGTGGAAGGAGGAAATCAGCCCTCAGGCACCCCACCCCCAGGCTCCCTCCACTTCCTGGGGGTCCCTGCTAATCTCTGCCCAGAGGACCTTATAACCTCTGAGGATCTCCACCACCTCCTCCTGGGTGGCCATGCCCACCCAGATGTTCGGGAAGGCCGTGGTGTTGTAGCTCAGGCCAGTGCACATCTCCACCTGGACGGGCTCACAAGCCAGCTCTGTAAGAGAATCACAGGAGGGGGTACACGGGCTGGCGACCTGGGGCGAGTCACCTAAATGCTCTCTCTGGGTCATTTGGGGGTTGTTGTGGGACTCAAAGGAGATAACATGGAGACATGCTTTGCCCACATCACGAGTGCCTGTTATCCTCCAGAGCCCGCCCAAACACCCTTCGTCAGCCCTGGGCATCATGCAGGAGTCTCTCTGATCTCGGGAGCACGGGGCACTGACATTGGCAGGGACTGCTGGCATCTGGAAGGAACTCCCCTGCTCTTGACTTCATCATCATCCTCATCATCCTCTTTTTTTAAAGTAGGCTCCACACCCAATGTGGGGCTTGAACTCACGAACCCAATATCAAGAGTCACATACTCTACCGACTGAGCCAGCCAGGCGCCCCTCACCTTCCTCTCCGAGGTGGACTGTGCAGAGGGGTTCTCTGTGTGACCAGGCTGGGCTGGTTCTTGAAGCCCCCATCATTGACTCCCAGATCTCCACTTCCCTTGGGGGTGGTGTCAGGTACCGTTGCCACCCCAGGGGGAGAATCCCTCCCCAGACTCTGCAGAGTCTCCGCATCGGGGAGAACATAGGTGGGCTGTGATGAAATGTGCCAGTGGGGTTTTTATGAATGGGCCCCCAGCCTGCTCCGGCCTCCTGTCCCCTCACCACGGTGCTCTGGGGGGAGGGGGCTCCTCACCTGGGGGTGGGAACAAGGGGCTGCTGCAGCTGTCATCACCACTGTCCAGGCAGCGTCTCCATGTGTCACACGTCCACTGCAGACTCTTACACTCTCCATCGCGGCAGGAGAACTCTCTGGGGCCACAGGGATCTGCAGGCATAGGGGGCACAGCAGTGCCCTGGGATAGGCCTGTGCCCCCATACTACCTTCGCGGTCCCCTGACCGGGTTTGGAGGCTTTCCGAGTTCTCCCGGAGGTGCCTCCACTGCCCACATCCGCTCCCCCAGGGGCACCTACTCTCAGTGCTATTGAGGGCCCGGTAGGTGGCAGAGAAGCCCCCGGTGCTGATGCCGCGGTCTGTCCTGAAGAGCACCACCAGCTGCTGGTGCGAGGAGATGAGGCGAGGTGGAGGCTCTGCTCCGCAGAACCTGCCCGAGGCAGAGAGCGCGCCTGGGCAGAGAGCCCTTGGCCCACCCAGGCTGTTCCCGCTGGCCTCCCTCCGGCTGATGCTCAGGGGCGGGCCTGAGGGGATGGGACACATGGCATTTACGGCCTGGGAGAAAGACACACTTATTCGGTAGGCAAAGGATTAAGCAAACTGCTTGAACTTGAGCCAGTCAGAGATGGGAAACACCAGTGAGGGTTTGAGGGGAAGTGGGAGTGGGCCGCACGGGGCAGGAGAACCGGACAGGGAGGGTACTGGGAAATGACCTTCTGCACAGGGGCAAAGCTGAACAAAGGCTTTGGGCTGAGGAAGGACAAGCCTCTTCCTAGGGTGACAGTAGAGAGACCTCTGGCTTAGAACAGAAGGAATTGGCAGCCAGGGAGAGGGCAGGGTGAATCTGCGGGAGGCCTTGACCATCAGACCGCGGAGGATGGAATTTCTCTGGGGCTCCTGCTCGGGCAGCTACCTGCCCAGGAGGCCAAGGGCCCCCGCGTCGCTGGCCTCATACACGGCCACGTAGTCCAGCTTGCACTGTTCCTGGGCTTGCAGGCTAAAGTTGTGGAAGCGCAGCTCTAGGCCGTGTCCCGCGGGCGCGGAGATGTGCCAGGTGCAGAGCTGGGGGAGAGTATGGAGGGAGGGGGTCAGGGCTCCTTCTCCTGTCCCGCTCTGGGCATCCAGGCAGGGCTCCAGAAGGGTTTTCTCTCTGCAGCAGGCTGGGCAGGGTGTGGGAGGGGGCAGCCCACCAAGCTCTGTGCATCAGTGGAGCTACCAGTAAGCACTAAGGACTGCCCCACCTTGCTGCCTGTTGGAACTCTGACCTTCCCAAGAGCCGGGCAGCACCTCCCACACTGTTCCAGGTCACACTAACCCGTGTGTGTCTGCCCCACTCCCTTACCTGCTGGTGAGGGTAGCTCTGCAGGTCGCCCGGGGCAGAGAAAGTGCCCTGGAGCCCAGTCAGATTCCCCCCGCACCCTGCAGAGGGGAGGAGGGGCTCAGGAGTCTGCCAGGTCTGGGCCTTGGCCCGCTGGCCTGTCGGGGACCACAGGGGAGCACCTGGGCCAGTCCCACAAGGAAGCAGCTTCTGGGCCAGGAGAATATCCGGGCAAGTCTGGGGCTGGGCCAGAGCTGGGGAGTCCCGGCCGAACCCGGGTCGGATGCCCATAGACAGTACCCGCCCTGCGCCTGGCGGGGCCCGTACCCAAGAACTTGGCACTGCAGTCGGTCTCATCGCTGCCATCAGCACAGTTGGCAAAACCATCGCACACTGAGTCAGGCAGCAGGCAGAGGAGCTGGTCACAGGGGAACTCGTCAGGAGCACAGCTCCCTGGGGAGGGGCGTCTGGATTCAGAACCTCCCAGAGTCTCCAACCCCTTTGCTGGGGCTGGGAGTGTCTGGAGGGGAGGGAAGTGGAAGCTTGAGAGGCGGCCAGAGGCGGGGTGGTGGAACACTCACCGGTGCCGGGAGCCACAGCCTGGTACCAGGCATGGAAGCCAAATCCTTCCACGCTGCTGTCGGAGACGAAGGCCACCCGCAGACGGCTGGCGTTGGTGTTCAGTGTGGGGGGAGGCACCCTCCCACACACTCTGCAAGGAGCCAGGTTGGGAGTGACGGAGGCTCAGAGCTCAGGGCCAGCCGGAGTGGAGGCTGCCTGGGCCCTGTGGTCCTCCTGCCTCAAGCCCTGACCTGGGGAGGATGGGGTCAAAAAGGGTCCTTTCCTTTCCCAGGGAGCTCTCACTTTCCTGACAGCCCTGTCCAGGCCGCATGTATTCATGGACAACAGAGGTGGGAGCTCCATCTGACAGAGAGCGAGCGGCAGTGACTTCCCCAAGGTCATGCAGCAGGCTGGAGGCAGAGCTGGGCCCCAAGGTCAGGTCTCTCGGTTTCCACCCAGGCCAGTCTTTCCCATGGCTGCTCCCCGGTTCTGTCCTCTGGACAGTGAAGCAGAGCAGGGGTGAGATCTCCTGGGGGCAAGGGCACCCACCTGAGGAGGGGCCCTTCAGGCTCAGGGGAGATTTCCAAGCGATCGAAAAGACAGGAGGCCACACTCTCCATGCTGAGCGCCTCAATCTTGAGCTGTATTGCGTGGTCTGCTGCCACCTGGATATGCCACACGCAGTGGGCGTTGGGTGGGTAAGGGTCTGGGTAATTGGGGCTGCTGAAGAAGCCCCTTGGGCCAGGAAGGAGGCCCCCACAGGCTGCAGAGAAGAAGGTTAGAGTTTGAGTTCCGAGGTCAAAAGGAGTGAGACCCTTTTATTTCCAAGGATCCCCTTCCTGCACTTACCCCCCCCCCCGCCCAGCCATCCTCCTGCCATCTTGGGCTCTTCTCCAGAAAGATCTTCCCTGGGTACTCACTGGGCTGGGGCGAGGGGCTCATGCCTGCCTCCTCCGGCTGTCCTTTGGGATTCCCAGATGCTGGAGACGTGGTGGTGGTGGAAGGGCTGGGGGGGGTTGGGGGAGTGGTCCCACTGGGGGTCAGGCCTTGGGCAGGCAGTGGTGTAGAGGCCCCAGACAGGGGTGTAGCCCGCAACTCTGCAGGTGGGAAGATGGGGGAGTGGGATTCAGAGGAGCCGGTTCCCCAGAGGTGACAGATAGAATGGTTCATGGATTCTCATTCCCAAGCCCTCCTACCAGGCAGGGCCAGGTACTCACGGGCCAGAATGACGGCCACCAGGAGCCCAAGCAGCAGGAGCAGCAGGCTGGCCAGCAGGAGGACGCACAGCCAGGAGAAGTGGCAGTCTGGCTGCAGCCCTCGGGAGCGCCGGCCTGTGGGTGGGTGGGGTGGGACATTGAGAGCTCCCTGGGCAACCCTCATACTGTTCTCCATTCCTGGGTTTCTCTGTCCACCCCCACCCCCGCCCCGCCCCCATGCAGGTCACTCCCTGAGATGGTTACCATGCCGGGGAGCTGGGATGCTGTGGCTGGCATCGTCCCGGAAGGCTGCTGGATGGCAAGGTGGCTCCAATTCAGGCTCAAAAGCAGGATTGCAGAACTCAGTCTGGAAGGGAAAGACTGGAGGGCTGAGGGCCAGTGGCCGCACTGCCAGGCCGGCATGGCCCCTGGACATGGCCAGCCCTAGGCAGGGATCTGGGTCTCAAGAGAGCAATCCTATGTGACCCTTACCTTGCTCAGTTCTGTCGCCTCCACACACAGGATGACATCTGAGCATTCCTTCATGGCTCAAGGCTCTGCCTGGATTTCTGGGATTCCCTGTGATCGCCCAAGGCCGCCAAGGGCTCACTCCCTGATCCCAAACTGCCTATCAGAGGGGCAGCCTCTGCTCCCTTCGGGAAGGGTCTGCCAGGCTAGATGGACTCTCAGACTGCCCTTGGCCGACTGGTTCAGGCCACTGGCTACTTTGGGGAAGGAAGCAGCCAGAAGGAATTCGCAAAGGCATGAAATGGTTCCTTAATCCAACTCAGCTGAGGATGCTAAGGTCAAGAGCTTGGCTCGGGGCAACGGTCCTTAAAGGCACAGGTCGTGATTGAGAACACCCAGCAGAGGAAACTAGGTGCTCATCGGGGGGTGTGATCAGGAGAGCTGGACACCCCCTTTCCTCACCTCACCCAAAGTATTAAAGGAGCACCCGACAGGTGCTGGGAGGGAAGGAGGACCATGCCGGCATGAGGGAGCCTTGGAAGCTGGGTGTGAGGGTTTAGGCCTAGGCACCCTGAGGGGTCTGGACAAAACCAGCTGTTCTCCCACCCGCGTCTGGGGCAGTAGCCAAGCCCAGGTCTTTGGGAGGCCCCTTGAGTGTACAGGTGTGACCAGAACCAGGAGCTAAGCCAGTCCAGGAAGCCCATGGTGTGCACGGGCTGCTTCTGTCCGTGCTATGTGACTAGGGGAGCTGGAGGGGCTGGCTGCCTCTGCCCCCGGGCCCTTCGGCCGGCAAAGAAAAGGCAGAGAAGAAGGAAGAGGGGCCAAGTCCTCGTACAGGGTGGGCAGGGGCAGACCCCCTGGGCTGTGAATCCTGGCCTTTGGTGCCATCTGCTGCTGCGGGAGAGAAAACCCACACTCTGTGAGCCAGACCACTTCATGCCTCTTCCTCTGTGACGACTGTCTCTGGAAAAACCCAGTCTGGCCCAGATGTCCTCAGGGAGAAAAGAAAGGACTTGTTAACCTGGTTTGTGTTAGCCATGCTCGCACGGAGTTGGGGGAGTTGGACAGGGCAGGACGAGGGAGGCAGCATCCTTTCTGTGGCTGGACCGTTTGCAGAACGTTACGTAGTCGGCCCTGGGCAAGAGGCTTTACCCGTTGTTTCCCTCCCTAGGCCACACTACGAGGTCGCATAACCATGTCACAAATGACGGCACTGAGGCTTCCCCAGGGTCACACAGCTGGTGTGGTGCAGAGCCACGAGCTGAATCTAGCACTGTGGAAATCCAAAAGCAGGCTTTGGAGGACACACCTCTTTCAGCCTCCACTGGGGCCGGTGCGTTTTGGCAACAATGGGAACCAGTGAGGAACCCAGAGGGGAGAGAAGAAACAAAGGAGACAGATTCTCTGATCCTCACGCAGCTGTCCTTGTACTCGGGAGAAAATGCACCCCCAGATTCTTCTCCGTTCATCCCTTGGGGGCCCTGTGTTGCTTGTATATAGGGGGGCACACCTTTTTCCCTGGGCCCTTGGATGGGGACTGCTTTTAGAAGGTCTGAGAGGTCAAAAGTATGTCCATGATGACACTAAGACATTATTTGGCTTCTCATTTGTGAGCACACAGCAGGGTTTTCCAGAGGCTGGGTGGGAAACTGCTCTCTGGCTTTGCTGTTGTCCGTGGCCATCCTCTTGGCAAGGGGAACTTAGGGTGACTCTCCAGTGGTTTTGAGCTCTCTCGGGCTCCTGCCTGTATTCCTGAGAGCATGGTTCTGTAACTCCTGTAACTCCCCCGTGCTGACCCCACACACTGTTGTCTCTCCTTGACTCTCTGTTGCTCTTCTGCCACCAGGAAGGGCGAGGCCAGCCTGAGCTTGGCTGGAACATTCTGGGACTCCTGGCTCTCTAGCTTTCTCTCCTGCTAGTTCTCTAGCTCAAACTTCCAGTCCAGCCAGACCAGCCTCTTCATTGTCCCTGGAACATGCTGTGACCTTCCTGCTAAAGACAAGTCCCCGGGCTCATCCTCTCATGGAGAATGCCTTGTTTCTCCTTGTTTCGAGGGCCAGCACCGGAGGTGTATCTTAGGATCTGACTCTTCTTCCCCACCCAAATCTGTCAGTCGTTGTCCTCCTATCCTCGTTCACTGCCACCCCTAGCCTTGACCCTCATCCCCTGGTTTCTGGATCTCCCCTAGTCCCTAGGAGCCTGGAAGACTGAAGCCCCGTCCCAGCTAACCTTCCGTGATCTCCAAGAGGCAGGCCATGCTTAATATCAAGCAATCAGAAATGCCCGTCCCTTGGGTTTAGGTCGTCCCTTCTGTGGCTCTGCTTCACTAATTGTGGTTTGGGCAGTGCTACATTTTGCATTCCTGAGCCTTTAATGTATGTTGTTCGGAGGAGAGAAGAAGGCACAAGCATCCTGAGAGGATTGGGGAACCAAACGTTGGCTGAGCATCACCCACTAAGACAATGTGGATGGTGATGGTGCAGTCCTGAAAATGTGGGTGTGTGTGTGGGACATGGACATTTGAATACCTAGTATGTTTAGACACAGCTCTGAGTAGGTATTGTTATGTGCAGATTACAGAGGAGGAAACAGGCTCAGGGCAATTAAGTAATTTGCTTCGACTGTAAATGCTAGTCTCTGCTGCCTCCCGCTCCCTCCCTCGGGTGCTCGTTTCCACCTCTAGGGCAACGAAGGACGGGGCCCTCAGAGGTGCGCGGCCCAGGTCCTGCTGGGGCTCAGGTATGTGACAGATTGTGCTGGTTTTGCTTTTGGGTGTGTGTGGATGGATGGCGTTGGAGTTTCCTTGCTACACTGCTGCTCAGCTCAGTTCCCAACAGAGACAAGGTTGGAAAATTTGCTGCAGAAAACCCTGCAAAACCCAAAAGGCGGAGTACGCAGAGTACTCAGATGGAAAGAGAAGCGTCCTGCCCCCGCCGCTGACAAACCAGCGGGCTGGAGGCAGCCTTCTCTAGCGCTGTGTCCTCACTGGCCAAACGAGAACACGGACAAGGTGACCTTTTTGGTCCTGACTCTAAAGCTCTATGGAAAGAAATATGTATTTTCTGAGCATGGGTTGTTAAAAAAAAAAAGTTAAGAGTAACTCTAGAAAACTGAAACCAGAGGCACAAAAGGCCTCCACCCTTGGGACTTGGAGAAGTGACTTAGGAGGACACTTGAGCTGAGAACTTCAAGGTCCAGTCTCCTTAATGCAGATGAGGCACAAGGCCCAGAAAGAGGGAGGTTCTTGTTCAAGGTCACACAAGGGCAGTTGCAGGGAGAGAGCACCCCCCCTTCCTCCCCAGGGGGAGGCCTGTTGGAACGCAATGGGGGCAGAAATCCCAGTTGCTAGGAGGCAAAGCTGGTGGATAAAGAAACATGGGGACAGATTGTGTCTGGCATCTGTGTAGCGCTGAGACCTGTTGCCATGGGAATGAGAAAGCGCCACAGGTTAAGTACAGAAGGGAGAGCGGGGAGCAAGGGTAGAGCGGGCTGGACCTCTGGCCCAGACATTACCTATAGTCCTCTGCTCCCCTGTGGAAGACAACAGGAACGCATTGGTGGTGTCCACATCCAGGGTAAAACTAGCCAAGGGAGAGGCGCAAGTTACACCATTGGCGCTCCCATCCACTTTGCTAGAAACTGTTTCCATTTTGAAGACCATCCTGTTGACTTGTTGTTTGGGGGGAAATCATCTACATTGAAACTACTACCTTGGGTCAGGCCGCTTCCAGGGCAGGCCAGGGAGAAATCCCAGGGTTCGAGTCACTATTTTTTCCCACTTCTGGAAAATGCCCAGAAGCAATGCTCCCACTACTGTCTCATCCCATGATGTGAGTCTGACAGGAGACACTGCTGGCTCTTCAAAGATGGAATAGATGGGCCTTGATTTTTCAGTGTCTGGAGCAAGAAGGCAGCTAGGAAAAGTCCCAATAAAATACTCCACTGGCAGAGGCTTCTGCTTCCAGAGTTCTAAAATCAGCGGCAGAAAGGGAAAGTCTGAATAGGACTAAGAGCTAAAAGATAAAACCAAAGGAGTCAAATCCCTGAGTGCCCCAAGGAGGCAATTTCTTTAAAGGGTTAAATCTGTTTAAACCTTGGAAAAAGTACTTTGGGGCCGCCTGGGTGGCTCAGTGGGTTAAAGCCTCTGCCTTTGGCTTGGGTCATGATCCCAGGGTCCGGGATCGAGTCCCTCACGGGGCTCTCTGCTTAGCGGGGAGCCTGCTTCCTCCCCCGCTCTCTCTGCCTGCCTCTCTACCTACTGTGATCTCTGTCAAATAAATAAATCTTAACAAAAAAAAAAAAAAGTACTTTGGAGAATAAGACCTTTAACATCAAAGCGGCTCTTTCTAGGTATTAATAAAGCAAACTGAAGTCTCTTGTTTATTAAAGGCCAAGACTTGGCTTCTCCACATCCTGGTACAGCCACTCTGCTCCGAGAGCAAACCTGGTTATGTCCAGCCTCTGTTGGTGCGCGTCCTAGGCCTGTAGAGGCACCCAGGTGTCAGGAGAACTGGGAGAGCCACACCGACCTTTAAACCGTGGGCGGTTCCGGTAAAAAGCATCTGCTAGCTACGCATTTCCTGGGGGCGAAGACGGTGTTGAGCTTATATGGGAGATGGACACTGAAGTATTCAGAGGTGGTAGTGTCCCCTCGCCCCTGCATGTTTTGTCCCCAAGTATCTGGAGACAAGTGTGGCAACCTGTTAACTGGTGAATCCATATGAAGAGAGCATTCAAAACGTGTGCCAGTTGAGTTTTGTAGAGTTGAAAAATTTAGACTCCACAGTGGGCAGCATGTTCGAGAACTTGGAATTCGCGGTCTAGCTGAAGCAGTAAAAATACGTGGCAACTCATCTGCTCAGAGCGCTTCCTGGGGGCAGACCCTTCCCAAATCAAGATGCCGTCATACCAACTTCTCAAAGCTATTATTTATTCTGTACAAGGTTTCACTGGACATCAGACATTCTTCTACTCTTGCTTACACAGTAAACAAGTGCACATCAGCCCTTTGGCTCAGGTTCACAGGGCTTCCCTGGGGAAGGGGGTCAGGCCAGTTAAACTTGGGGCGTCTTTCTCTGAGGCCTCCTTCTGGGAGCATTGGGAAGCTTCAGGCTCCAAGGGGCACAAGCTGGGCCCAGCCATGTGGATGCACAGAGCTCCGCGCCTTGGTGCTGACCAGTGTTACTCTCTGTGACAGCACTGAGTTTTGTCCAACTACTCAGGGAAAATCACGCTTGTGGGAAAGAATCGTACAGCTGAGGCGAGATGTCCCCAAACACCCAGGCTCCAGCTCCTGGGGTAGGACTGAAGACCGATGCCAAGGGGGGCTGAGGGGGTGGCATGGGCATCCCTGAGAAACTCGGTCCAAAGGGCCTATGTCTAGGAGGCTCTGAGAAGGGCTGGGGGCATGAAGGTCAGGAAGAAAAAGCACATTAAAAGGGAATAAATTAAAGGTGTGAGAAGCTCTAGGGATAAGGGGCTTGTGCTATCCTTCAAACAGCTGGGGGGGAGTAGACCAGGGGTGGCTTAGAGGAAGTGGGCAGGAAAAACTTGATACACTACCAGAAGAAATCTTCTACCTACTCTCCTCTCCGCCTCATCGCAATGCGAACCAAGCCAGGGGCTAAGGGCATGACCCCCATTACCCCCAGCGGGGTCGAACATGGCACTGGGGAAAAGGGAACAGGCTGAGGGATATCTCAGGGAGGGGAAGTTACCCCCTGGTCCCCAAATGCTATAAGGCACAAATCTTGGAGGCAACTAGATTCCATCCAGAACATTAAAAAAACAAACAAAACAAAACAAAACAAAACAAAAACTTGTTAGATCCTGGGTCTACTGTGGCTGTGCTTGGGGTCTGGCCAACACCCACCTAGCACCACTGGGGGCTAGCATTAGAAAAGCTGTATTTGAAGAACTAAAAACAAAACAAAACAAAAAACCAAAATGACCAGCACAATGTCCCAGCTGTAAAGAGGTGTGAAGGAAGCATCTCCCATCTGAAAACTTTAGTTATGGTAATTAAAAAACAAAAAAAACAAAAAAAAACAAAAAAACCAGGTTTTTAAAAACCAAAATCAGCTTCCCCCCCCCACCAAAGTCGTCCCCTTGTCTGTCCCCCTGGAGTTAGCAGCGTTAAGAGGGCTCTTGGCTCATGAGTGTTTTTCTTGCTTCTGGACCAGTGAGCGGGGTCCAGGTGAAGACAGGTGCGGGTTGGGGCGCCAGTGCTTCCAGGCGGCGATCCTCCCAGCGGGCTCCAGAGGGCGCTGTCCTCCCGGGAGGAACTGGGGGCTGCGAGGGCAGCAAGTGGACCAGGATCTTCTCCCCACAGACCGCTGCTGTTTATTACACACGGGGAAAAAAACCACAAGCTTAAAACTGCAAACAAGAGACGCCGAGGGGGCACCACGCCGGCTCCAGGCTCTGTGTCCTGTCGATCTTCACGCCAGGTGGCTCGGAGCTCCCGGCTCCCGGCTCCAGACCCTGACTGGGCTGCAGCAACTCCTGCTCGACAGCGTTACTTTGCTTTATTTTGCTCTTATTTGTCAGGTTCTTTTTTTTTTTTTCTTTTTGTCTTAAAAAAAAAAAAAAAAACTTAGGGTGTGGGGCCGCCACGGGGAAGGGAGAAAGAGATGTAGCTCCTCACTGCTACATGCGGGAGGGCGGACTGGCCAGTTCGTAGAAGAGCAGATAGGCGTCGCTGGTGCGCACTTGGCTGGAGGACATGGGTGTGACGCTGCAGAGAGAGGGGGGGACGTCAAGAGAGAGCCCTGGAGAGGGGGCCACCGGGACACACGCGGTGGGGCTGGTGGACCGTGAGGGCCCACTGCTCCTCTCCCTAGGTGCCCCGGAAGCCGATCTCTTTTGCAGTCTTCTAGAAATTCTGCAAAGGGGTGGCAGGCTCAGACATATTACATGGCCTTTTGGCTCTGACTCCTCCATCTGGTCAAAGGGGAAGCCACACAGGTGGGTGAGGTACAGGTGTCTGGCAGCCAGGAGCCCTGCCTGAGAGCTCGGTCTCACCTGGAGTCATTGAAAGTGTGCCATTCGCCTGTCACTGGACTCCGGCAGTAGGCTGTATAATGGCCACCCATGGTGGTTCCAGAGTGATTGGACACAGCGTACAGGTTGTAAACAGCGTGGTCTGGGGAGGAAGTACAAGGTTTCAGGCCCCCAAAGCATTCCTTGCCCCACGTTCCCTCTCCCTCATGCCTCTATTCCTGATTTTTGTTCACTCACTCTTCAGCAGCTTCCTCCCACCTCCTGGCCTCCCATCTGGATTTTAGGTCCTTGCGCCTTGTTTCTGCCCTCCCAGCTGAAAATACTCACTGGTGTTTTCTGAGGCAAATTCTCTCAAGTCCAGGTCTCTTAGTGGGAAATTCACAAATGTTGTGAGCTTGCTGGTTCGTATCCTGGATTCTGAGAACCGCTTCAGGTCTGGGGTTGGCATTAAGTCAAGGACAAGAGAGGGTGGCAAGGGTAGTCAAAGTAAAGAGGACTGAGTCCTATGAGGGTGAAGCACTTCTTAGAAGCAAAAGAGCAAACCGGGAACGGAAAGTCTACCACATTTCCTTTTCCCTACTCTGCTCGCCCTCAGTTCAGCCCCTTGTCATCAGTCACTCCCTAAAGGCAAGTCCAGCTTGCCATGGTGGACTGGATCTTAAGGATACGGAGCACCAAGATCTTTGGGAACCTCTGGATGGAGAACTTCTTTATACATCGTTTTCTGGCTCGGCATCGACAGCACGTCTGCAAGACAGGACAAACAGAGCTACAGAGGACGTGGGGGAGAAGTCAGTGGGCTGAGTCCAGGAACTCCCAGGCTGCATCTGCTGGTGACGGGTCTCTCCCAGAGCGTGTGTTCCCGCTCCCATGGGAGGGGACTTACCGGCTTTTCATCGCCGTCAAGCACGTCCTCTTTGGTGAAGAGCCTCATGCAGTCCATTAAAGTCACCTCAGGATAACCTCGCTGGGAGAGACAGAGAGTACGAGTCACAGAGGTCGATGCCATGAGAGGATAAGAGTGGGCGCTTCCAATGTGAGGCAACAGGGGCACGTACCTTAGCAATGGGCAATGAGAGGTCCCAAAACGGATCAAAGACTGTCGAGCAATAACCACAGTCGGTACACGTCAGGGAGCTCTTTAGCTGCCCAACGAAGAGATCTGCAGAAGAGATCGGACAGCCGAGCTAAAGCCAGGAGAAGGAGCACACGTCTTCTCTGGGCTGTGTGCCCTCTCAGTGCTCCTGCCTCTGTCCGTGGGTCACTGGGCAGAAGGAAGGTCCCCTGAGAGGATGACTGTTAGGGCTTTTCATGCTCACGCTCTGCTTAGGGGAAAGCAGGTCTTCTTCCCATTCATGCACTTACCCCCAATCCGACTGTCTTCCCGTTCTAGATATTTCCTCCACATCTGTCGTCCTTTCTCATCATCACTAGGAACCAGAGAGAGGAAGACAACTGGGTCAGAGCTCATGCCATGAGAAGTTTATGGATCCATCAGTCTAAATCTTTAATATTTAAAATTCTCTCCAAATTATTACCCCCAAAGAAGTCAGCCAAAAACTCAAGCTCACCAAGTTTTTCTTCCCCACAGCATTCTCCTCTTACTTACGGAAGATGATCGAGGTTCTCAGGGTTGGACTTGGGCCTCACTGTCACTCGGTTCACCTCGTTGTGGAGCCCATCCAGAAGAAAGCGAAGAAACTCCTGAGCATCTTGCTGACTGAGTCCAAAGAAAAGAGTGAGCAAGAGCTCTCATTCCGAGAACCACCCTGTGGCCGGCACCCACCCCGGGGAGGACATGTCAGCACGGCTCTTACTTATAGCCAACGAAGCGTGGTGCGTATCTCTGGATCTGGGTCTTGAACTCAGATGGGCTCACCACATCATTGGGGGATGAAGTCCATATGGTCTGGATTAGTTTTGCAAACTCTATTGGAAGGAGAGGGTAGAGAGGGGGGCGTGGAGGACAGGTGAGACATTTTCTGTAAGAAACTCAAACTAGAATCCCAACAAAAAGAAGCCAAAGGGAGAAGACTAGGAGGGACACATACAGCACACAACTACTGATACAACCGTGGAGAGAACCAGTGTCCAGGGCCAGGCTCCTCACCTTCCATGAGGGCTGTGTGGGCATTGCTGCTGTGGCTGAGATCCCGCATGTAGAGCCTCTGAAGGCAGTAGTCCCTCAGCTCCCGGGTGTTGCTCAGGCACTGCAGAATGGAGTTCATGAAGCACTGCAAGAGATCACCTGCTCAGTAAGACACAGCCCTGTCTGGCATGTCCACTCCCCTAGTACCAGAGGCCCTCTGGCTCATCTACCCCAGAAATGAACACTCCCACAGTCTCAAGTTCCTCTTTCTGTAAGGGAAAGGGGCGCTGTGGGGCCTACTCCCACTGGCGGCACAGGTGACATAGCTGGTTATTGACTGTGAGGTGTACAGAAGGGTGTGGGTGAGCCGGACAGAAGTGGGTGGGAAGTGATGGATGTCCTTCAGGATAAGGCTCCGGGAAAGCAGCTGACAGTAAAGAGGGCAACTCCCCTTTAGCAGTGCTTCCTGCTAGGGGCCAGGAGGGAGGCGGTGCCCCAGCCAGTCTGTAAAACCCACCAGCCAGGATGGACAGTATAACTGGCCTCTAGAGGACAGGGAGTCCGCAGGAGCCAGAAGGGAACTCTGGCCAGAAGGTCCCACTGGGACAGGAGTTCGTGGCCTGAGGAAAGAAGTGGGCTGGGAAGAGCTCACCGTGTTCCCAAGGTTTCGAAGACCAGCCAGACCCTGGGCGCTCTTAGAATTCTGGAAACAAAGAACACACAGCATATGAGGCTGAAGGCAAAGAGGCTGGGCCAGTGCTAGGCGCACTCACGCAGCTTTCTGCCAGAGCCAGGAGGATCAGGCACACACATTGATCTCTCTTCAACACACAACACAGACACTCGGCAGGGCTTTCCTTTCCTTTGTTGACATGTGCTTTCTCCGATCTGTACATGCCTCCTCAGTCTCTGCCATACTGGAGGCTGGAGATTAGAGCTAGAGCCTAGGAATTCATGTATTTGATTGCCAGCTACAAGGAACTCCGGGTCCCAAATCTGGGCACTATCTCAAAATGACCCACTTTTCCACCCCTAGATGTCCAATACACGAAGCAGCTGTCGTAACAGGCGCTTCAAGGAGATCTTGAAATGTTCAATGACAAAATGTCTGAAGTGAGTTTAAGATCTTCAGCTTGAGGAAAACTGAAGTTGGCCTGCCATTCTGAATTGCCGGAGACAGGTGGAATTCCTTCCAGCTGAGCTCAGCTCCCAGAGGCTGATTAAAGCCTGGGAGAATCCTCCCAGCCTGGCTCAGGTTTCGGCATCCTGACTGGTCACTGGCTGGGAGCCCTTCTGATGGCAGACTGTGACCACACAGGGGTAAGCACCTGGCTGAGGGTGCCACTCTCGTTCTTGTCCCTATTGTGGAGGTTGGTGAGGGGGTTGGAGTGAGACAGCTGCTAGGTCCAGATCTCGTGGCTAGTCCTGGCCCTACCTGCAAGGAGTCAGAAAACCTTCGGGCTCAAAGGGTTAAAGAAACAGTGTGCAGATGAGCCTGCCACCCCCTCTCTCAGGGAGGGGACCCGGCAACTCTGGAGCAACACTGACTGGGGCATGCGTGGGGCCAGCTCAACCCTGATCAGAACAGGAGCCTGAAATAACTCAGCTAAAATTACTCATGCCGTGTGCTGACAAAGCCCATGAGGTTGTCAGCTCGAGGGGGTGGGGTGGGGAGAGGCAGGCTGAAGGAGGGCTTTTCTCAGGAATTGCCCTGCTGATCCCACAAGTAAGAGGATCCCTTCTTGCCAGTTATCAGGTCTGACACTAACAGGTAGGGAAGGAAATATACTGAGAAGAGAGACCTGGTTTCCACCTGTAGTCAGCAAGCAAAGCTTATTGGCAGTAGGTGGGCAAAAGCATCGTTGAATTCTGCCAGTGCCGGCAGTATATGGCCCCAAACACAAGATTTTCATCTTACCTTTCTGACAGTCTAAACCCTGACGTTCCAGTAAGAGGACCACAACAGAGATAATTCCCTGGACAAAGACCTTATCAGGGTTTTCGGGTAGACCTGGAGAAGGACTTCCCTGGTGCCCCCCCCAAAAAAAGCCTGTCCACCACAGGATACCCGTCCTCCCCTCCCCAAAGATCCACTCTCACACTTATTTTTGGCATTGCGTGTTACTTCTTACCCCCTGGGCCTCAGACAACATCTGTCTAAAGGAGCTGCAGAAGCAAAGCCTGGTGATCATGTCAGTGTCCACCAAAGTGGGCCTCCAGCTGAGACAGTAGTCCCTCAGCACTAATGGGGACAGGGCAGTGGAAAACTGGAGGTGTCTTTGCACTGAGGCACTTCTGTGGTGTTGACACTTTTAACTCTGACCCAGCACAGTGAGGGTCAAGAACACGTCATCACCTACGGTTACTGTTCTTGAGAATCTAACTCTACTAATGGCCTGGCAGGTACAGAGATGGGGAAGGTTCCTTTATGGCTTTGCTCGGACCCTCTGTTCGTTTTTCTTTTTGCAGGGGTGGGGGTGGCTTGTACCTTTGTCTAAAATTTCCTGAATTCAAAACTACTTGCCAATTTCTAAGCGCTCTGTGTAGAAGGCGGCTGGATGAGAGGAGTCGGGGGGTGGGAGTGGAGGGGAGAGCAGGGCTGTTCTGTGCCCAGCCAGATATTCTTCGGCCATGAATAGGAAATCAGGAGCTCCAGGGAAAGTCAGCACTTTCCATTCTGGAGAGGAACAAAATGTCCCAGGAGTGACCTTTCTTACGGGGAAAACAATCCTACCTCTGGGCCGACAGGGAGAGGCTAGAACTGGAGAGGTTGGGGGAGAGACCCCACACAGCGAGCCTCTCACTGGGAGAGAAGGAAATGACTCCAGTTGCTACGTGGAGTGCATACGCAAAGACTCGAAAGAGTCTGGATCAAGAACTTCCTTAAAATCAGTCATCAGCAAACCTAACCTTGACTTCGGGGCAACCACTGTTCTAAAAGGTCAATGCCACCTCCACGGTTAGTAGACAGAAAGCATTCACTCTCCGCGAAGGAGCAGGGGGCTCAGGGAGAGCCCGCTCTGGGTTAATGGGGAGGAAACATTTGGGGATGTGGGTCATATAAGCAAGGCTGACCGAGGTTTGTGTCTTTACACTCAAGACCCCCGTGAAGGGCTTTCCTGCTTACTTCACCTGTGCCGTGAGGGTCAGCCATGAGTCCTGGCTGTGGCCAAGGAGCCTGGTGCGGCCCTGGCACAGGGCAGTGCACGCACTGCCAACTCGGGAGCTGGTGCCTGTTACATAAGATCTGTCAAGCTCTGGCCCCTTCTCCCTTCCCCAAGGGGGCAGTGCCCAGCTTCTGGCCCCAGCATTACCCTGGGGTGGCTACTTCAACTGAGGTATCCACTGCCCACGTAGCAGAACTGGGGGACGGCAGGAAAGGAAAGGGAAGCTGCCCTCTTTCACCTGTCTGCGACTCCTCTGCCCTTCACCGGGTCAAAGGGCCCCCGTTACCAACCCTTCGGGAGAGCGCCCTTTGGGGCTAGTGAGGAGGGGGCGGCTCTTTCCGAACAGCCTTTCTTGCTGGGTTTTGGCCTTGGAGGAGTCACACCGCCGAGCGGAGCGTGCTGCCGGCTCCCTCACACAGTCACACAGCGAGAACTAGTCAAGGTTACGCTTTTCTGCACCTGTCCTGAGAGGTGCCAGGAATTAAGAGCCCAAGGGCCACCTGGTGCCCGGGTCACGAAGAGGGAGAGGAAGAGGGGAGGGGGGGGAAACCTCAGGGGCTGGGACCTCAACAAGGGGAGGGGGCCGCGAGTAAGCCTGAGATCACCTGGGGAGGGGGCATTCCTTGCCGGGAGACCCTAGGAAAGGAGGGGTGGGGGCTGGGAAGAATCGGTCCCCCCCCACCCCGGCCCCGGAGCGCGCGGCAGATGGGGGTAGGGGGCGTCCCGGGGAGGAGGCGGAAGTCCAGGCCCCCAGCGTGGGGGTCCCGGAAAGGGGCCCCGCGTACCTTGGCTTTGTTGAGCAGGAGCCCCACGAAGGTGGAGAGCAGGAGGGAGGGGGAGAGCGGGGAGCGCGGCCGCAGCTCCTTGGCGAGGGCGGGAAAGGGGGAGGCCGGGGGCTCCTCGGGCAGGGTCACGGTGTACGAGGTGCGCATGCTGGGGGGCGGGCGGCGGGCTCGGCCCCACGCCTAACGTTGGCAAAGGGGGCGCGGGGGAGGACCGCGCGGTGCCACGGCCCGGACGCTGAGGCCGGAGAGGCCGCCACAGGACACCGTCCGCGGCGCCCGGCGGTAACTGCTCCGGACCGCCGATCGCGCGCTCCTCCGCCTCAACCTCCCCGGCACGCGCCGCCAACCGCCCCGGTACCCGGCTCTAGCGCTCGGGCTGACTGGCGGCCCCGCCGGCGCCTCGGGCCCCACGACGTCAGCGCCGGGGGCGGGGCCAGCACCCCAGCCCCGCCCCTGGCGCCGGCACGCGGCCCCGAGCGCGGCCGGGGCCCCGCCCCCCGTCCCTCGTCCTCCTCCCCCGCCCCGAGCCTCCAGCAGAGCGGCCCCTAGCCGGGACTGCCCCCTTGCCCGCTGACCCCACCGGCCTGGCCGCCGCCGAGACCCGCCGTCCCCGGGAAGGGCGGGACAAGCGCGCCGAGCCCCCCGCCGGCCTCCGGGTCGGGACTCAGGAGGAGCCCCACAGAACTCTGTCAGTCCGGTGAGCCGCCCCCCAAACCGGGAGGCTTACGGTCCCTGACTTCTGGGGGCTGCCGGGCATTTGGCGCACCCTGTGAAAGTTCCGTGCTCTCCGCGGGGGGAAGATGCACTTGCGCACAAACTTTTGCACGTTCAGGGGGACTCAGGCCCTCCCGGAGCCCGACACGCACACAGCTCGCGAGGGTCGGTGGGCCCCCGGGTTAGGAGCACGGATTTCCCTGGCGTCAGCACTGAGCCCTCCCCGCCCCCCACCACTCCCCAGTCCCAGTTCGTCCCATTATCAAGAGAGCCAGTGCGCCTATTTTATAAGGTACAAGAGGTCACTGTCCCATTTGGCTCCAGGGAAGAACATTTTCTGGCATCATCTGTCCAGTTACCCAGCTCCATCTCTCACAGAATCTCAAATTTTGGTTTGTTTTGGAGGGTGGGAAGAAAGTACCACCGCGGTGGGGACGCAGGTGCTCAGCCCGGGTTGGGGGCAAGCGGACTGCTCTGACCCTGAGGGCTTCCATGCCTGAAGAGCAGAGGTCTTTGCATTTCATTTCAGATGGTCCACCGCCCCTCACCTATCAGGGACCCACACAGAATCTGCCTAGAGAAAGTATCTTGTTTGGAGCCTGCTGGCTATTTTTAGCCAGTATTTTTAGCATTTAAAAATACTCTGAGAAGCAGCAGCGTGTGCTGTTACTCATCTGTGGCCTCCTTCTGTTCCTCTTGGCATGCTCATGGCCACATGTACACGCGCCCTGCTCACACGACCTCAGCCACATGGGGAATATGTCCCGGACACAGGTATGGGGTGGGCGATGGTCAGCAAGGGCACCGGTGTGAGGATGGTGAGCGCCCCCCC